ATTTGTCTTTTCTAGACATTTCCATTTCTAGGAATTTACCCAATGAAATTAAAACACGTACACAAATAGTCATAGCAGTCTTATTCGTAATAGCCAATGACTTGAAGTAATTGAACTTTAAATCATATCTTGAGACTTTATTGCTTGTTCTAGTTACACTTCACACCCCGCTTTCTGGATGAGAATCTCAGCAACGCCAGCATCGCCTCCCCCTCTTCATCTGCTGCGTCTTCACTCCTCCGTGTTCTGTCTTCTGTCGGCTCTGTTTCTACTTTTGCCTCTGAAGGTTGTTAACATTGTAATAATCTTCCCACCTCAACTGAGTCTCCCATTCTTCTCCAACAGTGTTTACATTACTGAAACTTAATGAACAATGTTTATACTTTTAAGACTTGATATTCATTCATTTACCCATCCATCCATCCATCCATTCATTCATTCATTCATTCAAAAGTGCTAGGCAGTGTTCTAGGTGCTGAAGTTACAGTGATAGACAAGGCAGGCAAAGTCCTCTCAGGGTTGGGTAGGAGCAGACAATAAGTGAAAAGACGAATGAATAATTGAATTCTTCAGTCAAGTATCTTGCTGCTAAGAGTAGGGTTGCATTTTCTCTCCAGGAGCCTAGTTGCATTACTCCTGTGCCAGAATAGAATGTTCCCGATGGGAAGGTCATAGGGACTTTCTTTCTTTGCTCTTTATTGATTGCTCAAAATCATGCTTATTTTGGCTTGTTTCACGTTTGCACCAAAAGTCATAAGGTATATTTTTTAAAAACACAATTAAAAACTCAAAGAAAAGTAAATAATAACAATAAAATCTTTATCCTATCCCTGTTACTTACTTTCAGCCTGGTGTTTTGTTGCATTTCTCCCTTCCAGGGCCCTCCGTGCTTCTGTTGCAAACCTTCTAGGTCTGCTGCACACTATTTATTTATTTGATATCTAGTATTATTAAGCAGTTACAAAGCACTAAATACTTTATTTACATGCTTCATTTCATTGGGGCCTCACAACCCTATGGGATGGAAGCTATTACTGTTTCCATTCTATAGACCAAGAAATTGAGGCCTAAAGAGATTGAGAAACTTGCCCACGGATATAGTATGTTGACGTAACTTTTTTGGAAAGCAGTGTGACAAGTGATGAACCAAAACTATTTAACATTCATGTTCTTTGACCCAATAAAGCCAATCTGGCTAATTTGTCTTCTGGAGTGATTCAAGAAAAGAAAACAGCTACATTCACAGAGATTTTCTCCTCTGCATAATCTTAAATGCTGGAAAAGTAGAAAAAACTTAAATATCAAAAAAGGGAATTTATAGAACAGCGAGACGATAGATTATCACGTGACTATTGAAAGAAGGAAGAAACCAGAAGGAACCAGACAGACTCCTTTTCTGCTCTCCCGCGTGGAACCCACCGTTTCCAGGAGCTCCATGTCTTCCTCTTTCTTGGCTATTTTTTGTTTTGCTGGAAGATGTATGAAAATAACTTCATACGCATACGTGTTCTTTCCCTTTCCCCTTCTTCCTTCCCTCCTTCCTTTTTTCTCCTTCTTTTCCTCACTTCATTTCCTCCCTTAATTCACATTTCACATTTTCATTCCCCTTGGTCGCAGAAAAATGCTCTAGTGTTTTCACTGTCTAACTACTCTATTTCTACTACGCATTCTTTCAAAATATATACTGGTTTTCTTTTGTTTTTTTAGTTTTCTAACATCCAAGATTACTCATGAGAAATGCTATTTCTTTTCCGTTCCCGTACTCCACAGGTGAAGATGCTGGTCCCTCTGGAAGCAGTTGGGTGCTCTCCTCGTCTCACGAGAACGTGTCCAGGCCTGGGGTCTTGGTGGCCTGCGGTAGACTCTTTCTGCCGGAAACTCAAGTCCTTCAGCTCCAGGACAGTCAGTTCTAGTATTTATTTGGTAAGTTCCTCTGATCCATTTTCTCTGTTCTCTTCTTCTGGGGCTTCTATTAGATGTTCGATCTTCTGGATTGTTTCTCTATTTCTTTTTTGGTCTTTTTTATCTTTGTTCTGGAAGATTATGTCAATTTTACTTTCGATTCCTTCTTGTTATTTGTATTTAATTTACCAACTTAAATTATTATTTTTGTTTTATGGTTATAAATAGTTTTTATTCTTATTGACTGTATCAGGAATCTTATCTTCTTTTCTTTTTAAGATTTCTGTTCCCTGAATTGTCTGTCTCCTTTGGGGTCTTGTTTTCTCTCTGCATAGTTTGGTCTCTCCCTCCATCTTACGCTCCTCAGATCCTCGGTGACCCTTGGGTGGCCTCTCATCTGCACCATGTCTGACCAGGGGCTCTGTGTGCTGTGGGAAGGATGCTGACGTCAGGCTCCAGACCACAGCTCATCTCCTCCTTCATTGGAATGAGGAGGGCTTTGCTCTGGGGTACCATTATCCACCCAAAATGCCTTCACGTTTCCACACAGTTTTTTCAATGTCTTTAGAGAAAGCCACTTGGGGTTTTGTCTGGAAGAATGCTGTCTTACTGAGCGTCCTCCTCAGGGGGCGACAGGTGGGAGTGGTGGCTACTGGTGTAGCGGCATGGACTTCCAATGAGTTCCCCTGCTTCCAGCCCCTTCTTACTGCCCTCAGTTGTACTCCAGGTGCCGAAGGAGAAACAGACGCCCACCTCCTCCGCTGTCCAGTGGCTTTTCTAGAAGGCTCTTCCCTCTGCCTATTTCATTAACTCATGCCACTCAACTTATTCCACAAAACTATTTGTTTTCTAGAAATTTGTTGATAATTGTGGTTGTGGTACTTCTCTTCTCTTTGCTGTTTATTCCTGTTTGAACAGATAACTTTTATTTTAACAGAGTTCCAAGAGTGACATAGTGAATGAACCTTCATATTCTGCCACCTAGAACTTAGAGCTGCTGAAGGATTGCAAGAACAATCCATCAGCAAAACTGGAAGATTGTAATTATTGGGATTCCAGGCATAAACAATGAATACAGGCTTTTACATTCCATATACATAAAAAACGTATTAAGAGATTTTTGAAACTGACTGTCTTTTCCCTTGTGATTGGCATGGTCACTATCATATCTTTCTCTTAAACGACAGGTATGCTCCTTTGATAAGATAATGAGATCTATGCAGCTGAGTCTATTTCTGCTTTTGCTTTGGTTGCCAGGAAGTGCTCGTTAAATTTAGCGTACGATTATAGAATTGATCTCAACTCTGATTCTACTTTTAAATATATTTTTTGTTTTATCTGTCAACGTAATCATATATATATATACATTTATATTTTAATTAATCTCATCTTTTAAAAAATAAGTAGAATACAAATTGTGAACATATAAAATAACAAACTTAAATGCACACTTGATCCTCTGTGTAAGGGGATTTCAGTATAACTGGGGCCTGGGACACCTAAGCACAGTACACAGTCAGTCCAGGCGCAGCAAGTGCACTGGTGGGGTTGACTGCCCTGGAGACCATCGCCAAAGCACGGGGGGGCTTTCTGGTGTGTACCTTAGGGAAGACGGAACCAGGCACGACAAGGTCACCCCAGAGGAAATCTTCATGCTCTCGGGGAGTGAGCTGGAAAGCCTGCGGGAGAAGAGGGCTTCCTGTTTTCATCTGAAAGCTTAAGAGAACCTTTAAAAACTGATCTCAGATCAATTTTTGGTGCCCGTGTGGCTGCGGTTCGCTGCTGCCCTCGATGGAGGAGACTCGACTGTTGTAACCGACGTGCTCCTTTGTCCCCAGCCAAGGCCATCCTCCTCCAGGGGGATGTCACCTGCCTCTCCACTAGGATGTTAGAACTACAAGCACAGGGACCCTTTCTGCTTTGGTCTTTGCTCTGTGCGCAAGCCTGGCGGTCAGTTGGTCCTCAATAATCACTTGCTGAATGTGCGACTGTTGGCATGAGAGGTGAACCGCCAGAACCCATTTAGGATCGTTAGCACGCGGCAGGCACTCTGCTGGCCCTGCTGAGCCCCCCAACACAGCAGATGTTGGTGGGCGGGCTGGAGCTGCCCTCAGTCACATCCATTCTCAGTTCCTGAGAGTTCTGTTCTTCACCATCTCTTCTCTTCACAGTGACACAGCTGAAGGGAGAAAATCCGCTCAGAGTGACACCCCGAGCTCAAAGCTGGAGACTCGCGCACCAGCCACGAGGCCGGAGATCACTTGCCCACACACTCTGCACCAGGAGGGCGGCTTTGTGACATCCCAACAGAAATTTGAAAAGGACTGATATGCCCCTAAAAGGAGATAAGGTCTCCTAATTCACACAACGGACTATTCTTGAAAGTAAAAAGGATGAGACGAATAATTATGCCAGAATAATAGGCAAAAATGGGGACTGTGATGGGCAAGCTGACACACCACCTCTCAGGGAAGATTCTAGCTGATTTTTAAAGGAGTTTCTGTCCTCAAAGTCTGAAAAGCCCGCCTGGATCAGAGAGGGCGTGAGCTCGGGTGTTAGGACACCTGAGTGGGCGGCTGCGGGGTCACAGCTGGGCTGAGCGCTCACGGGCTGAGGTCTCGCCTGTGAGCTGCGGCCCCTGGGGCAGACCTCTGACCCCTCTGAGCTGTGGTTTCCTGGTTTGAGAATCGGAGATAATCCAGTCTCCTCCACCCACCCGCTCGCACCATCAGGTGAGTGGGGGCACTCCAGAAACCCTCACTCTCAGAAATATAGGGTAGCAGTGACATTTTTTTTTATTAGGTTTCAGAGTTTGCTTTTGCTCAAAGTTAAAGAATTTCTCAACATTGAACTGAAAATTCTTTCCAGCAGAATTTCAATATCACTTATAGAAAAGGGAAAGGCATGGGCTCCTTTAAAACATCAAAGTCATCTTGAGAGGCGGCTTTACAACATCTCTTTTTTAATGTATTTTCTCCTCGTCTTTTTCTAACATATTAACAAGGATATGTGTATATTTTCAATATCTGTTTATAGATTCGAGATCATACTGTCTATAAAGTTTATTCGGCAACGGAGAAAAAGACAAGATACAGGCGTATAAAACAAGGTGTTTATTAACCGAAAACATTGTTCACGCGGGGAAGGACTACGATGGTAATCATTTTTTAATTTGAGCAATGATCTCTTTCATTCCTTTTTTGCTTGTATAATATTTTGAGGGAAAGGAGAAAGCTTTACTACCAAGATTTGCGCCACAGTTTCTACCATGCAAGAAAGTTTCTCGGGAAAAGGTTCAAACATTTTTAGGATGCCTGGTACGTACAAATCGTACTCCCAGCCGCAGCGAGTGCAGGTCCACCACACCCACCCACAGCGTTGGTTTTGTTTTAAGATTTTAAGTCGAAGTCTTTCCTGAAGAACAGATTTCCCCTTTGGACAGTTATTCATTCATGAGCCTGTACTGACCTTGGGCTGACGGTCTGGCCTGCCTGAGTCTGAGAAGTTTCCTGAAATGTGGGACTTTCAGAGTTAAAACTGGAACAGTCCTGGGAAAACCAGGCTGGCGAGTCACCCACCAGGCTGGTTGGTGGGGCGCACAAGGTCCCCGGTGCTTCCTCACGGGGCTGCTTGCTCCACGAGGCACAGCGTCTGCTGGATGCTTCCACCTCAGAGCTGGCCAGGAAAGGCCGCAGGCACCACCCAGGATCATGCAGGTGGCCTCTCAGAGGCTTCTCTCTCTGGGGAACAGCTGGTCTTTGCCACCAGCAGCTCCTCCCAGGCCTATCTGGCGCTCGGCAGTCTCACCGGCAAAAGAGAGAAAAAGCAGCCAGCTCCAGGCCTTTAAGTGGAGGTCAGTGTCATCCAGCGCTGTGCTTTCACCCACCGGCTCACAGCGCCAGAGGACTGTCACGGGTGAGAAGGGGACTCCAAATGCACTTGGGCGCATAGAAGGGAACCAGCTGGAAAAAGGAGCTCTTCCTCCACGCGCACCTCCTGCTCTCCTCCAGCCGCTCTGCTCCGTGGGCTGAGGGATGAGCTATCTTTAGCGGCTCCCCAAGGGCAGGAAAGAGCCGGGAGCCTCAAAATTTACTTTTTGAATTATTCATGTGCTATGAATAGCAGCAGTGACGACAACAGGAAGCGGTAATCACACCACCAGGACCCGGGACAGCCGAGAGAGGGCAGCAGAGGCAGCGCGAGTCCGGCCTGCCAGCAGGTGCTCAGTCACGCCTCTGCCACTCTCCTCCCTGGACCCGGCCAAGGCCAGGACACACCAGGCCCCACCTGGGGAGAGTCCCCTTGACCAACTTAAGCTCGGTAGCTTCCTGGAAACCTTCCTTCACTGCTGGTAAGGCATGTGGTTAAGCAGGGTCAGAAACAGCTCCTTCCAATCCGAGATTCCCCCACTGAAGAGGCCGGTTGACCTTGGGCAAAGGTCTTAACTTACCGAAACCTCCCTCATATTCTAGATGGCTGCACAGAAAGAAGACGAGGATATGGGCATGAGCTGCCGTGAGGCTTAAAGGAGAGAAAGGGCTGAGCACGAGGCCCGTGTACACCCAGCGCCCGATAAATGGCAGCCAGGCACACCTTGCAGCGTGCCCACTGTTGGAGCACATTCTGTGCTGGTTTGCACTTTTAGTTCAGCCGCTAAAGTGGCTGTCCTGGCTTCGACTGGAATTGCTCCGCTGGTTTTGAGTGGGCAAGTCCAGTCTTCCCCAGGGAGGAGGCACCTTACTCAATCCTCTTTTCTTTCTTCACTGGGGTGGGAGGTGGGGTCCCAGAAGGGACTTCTGAGCACACGAGGGTTTTGTGTTGACTGCTGAGAGGTGGGCTACTGTCGTCTCACCAACTAATGCTTCTGTCCTCTGTTCTAATCTGTCCTGAAAGGCAGGGCTTCGGAATCAGCCCCCTGGGGGAACTTGCTAACCTCCTTTAGCCTGGCTGGGCATGGCTATCGCCCGCTCCTGGAGGAGGGCTCCGCCAGCTGCAGTGCCCTGCACTAGGCGCGTCCTATGAGGGGTTTCGATTGGTGGTGAGATTCTAGTCTCCTCCGCATCTGTAAAAGGACGGTGTGTGATGACACTGTCTTCCCAGGGTTGCAGCAGGAATAAACGTGGCATCTCACAAGTAGACCCCAACACGGTGTCTGGCGTTCCGGATGGGCCAGATGGATGCTAATTACTGTGATTCTCCTACCTACCCAGGACTGTTCTGTTTAATGTCTGCTTTCTCCTGAGTTTTCCTGATTAGAACTTTTGAAGGCAGGTGATGAAATACTTTGAAGAGGAGCATTTTGACAACTTCCTAGAGAAGCTTTGAGCAAAGGGGCTTAAAAATTCAAGCCCCACCCCCAATACTCAGGCACCAGAGGCTGGAAGCTGGGGAAAGGTGAGAGAAATCTTGAAAAACTTGCTCAGGATTCGAACTTGAGTCTCAGGCTCTGCCAAAGGGCAGACGAGCCTAGAGGAGAAGTTACTGGAAGGCGTCAGCCCTCGAAGGGAAGTTTCTAACGAGGCTCTCATCTTGGGTTGAGTCCCCAGAAGCGGACCTGAATGTGAGGCAAGGGATGAATGTGATTTCTTTGGAAATGATCCGAGGAGAAACCGGTGAGGGCGTGGGAAGGCGGGGCCGGGAGGGAAAGGCACACAAGGGCGCGGTATCAAGAGAAGGCCCTGGCAGACTGGGCTGCATTCCAAACGGGCGTTCCGGACATACACCCGGGGGTGTCCAGATCACATGCAAAGGAGCATTGCCAGTGCCCCATCCGTGGTTAGTGCGAGGCCGCTCCTGGGGAGGGTCAATCCCGAGGTGTTGCTAGCTCTCAGGACAGACAGACAAGGTCAATCTCGGCAGCGGACAGAGCTCCGGGGGCAGGCTGTGGAGTTGGTGTGCACCCGGATGTGACAGGGCCCGGGAAGCAGGACAGGAACACCAACAGGCGGCCTCTCTCCAATGCAAGGTAGACCCCTCACGGAGCCACTCTTCTCAACAGAATGGATGCCATCTGCTTGACTCCTTCTCTTCCTCCTTCCCTCCAACTTGTCTCTACACAAGCGTTTTGACTTCTTTTCCTTCTTCATTTCCTTGGACATTTATTGGGGATTTTCCAGATACAAGGCGTGGTGTCAGACACTGTGGGAACAAGTACAGAATGAGGTAGACAGGACCCAGCAAGATCACTGAACTTGAGACATCTGGGCTTCCTTCCCATCTGGAATCCTCAGCAGACTCGCCACGTGGATTGCGTAGTGATGTGCCTCTAAGCCTCCTTTTGGAGGCAGACGAATAACACTTATTTACACATGCTTTCCAAGACTGTTGTGGGACACTGAGTTGAGGGCACCCTGCCAAGCGCGTGGTGTTCAGCACTGCACCCTCCACATGCCTTTTCTCTCTCTCCATTTCCTCGGGATGGCCGTCCTGGGTGTGGGCCTTCCCTCTTGATGCAGTGATCTCTCCCCTGAGTAGGAGCAGGCCTGTGCCGCCTCCCCGGGAGTCAGGGAGGTTGACTGGGGCACAGGTGAGACTGCCTTCCCACTGCTCCCAGCAAGGCGCAGTGTGTTCCTCTCTTCCATCACCACCTTGGATTTTTCTTGGGAAATGACTGAGAAACAAGAGATAATAAAGAACTCAGAATTCAGCTTCACCAGTCTCTCGTTGACTTCCTCCTTCCTCCCACCTGCTCCGACGCCTCCTCTCCTCCTCAGGACTCTTGCTTTTCCATCAGGAAAACTCCCTGTCTGCAGAGTGGCTGTGACATGCCCTGGGGAACCCCAGCCCTATCAATAAAGCCTTTTCAGCAGGTTTAGTAATGGGGCTGATCTGGGCAGGCTTCTCCCAGTGAGCAACTCTGACCTATATTCACTCCCTTTGAATTGTCATCATCTTGGCACAGTCCCTGGCACACAGTGGATGTTTAATAAAAAATACTTGCCCAATGAAACAATGGGTAAATTCCTCTTGTGAACACATGCATACAGGATACGTGGGAAAGAGGCCACGTAGGGCAGAGGTATTGCCCAGGTCCCATGATGCTCGTTACGGGTGCCAGTTTCAGCAGAGAAATGAACCAGGAATACGATTTAACTTTATGCATAACCTGATTGATTGGTTGTGGCTGCCTAGGGTAGCGCCTTGAGAAGGAGGAGAGGGAGCCTGCTTCCAAGCCTGGGATGGATTAATGATGCCTGCATTGAGGGAGAGTGGAGGGAGTAGCTGCGCTTGTGCCATCTGTCCTCAACCCGAGGCCCTTCCCATCTGACAATCATTTCTGGCCTCCTGAGAGTAGGGCCCAGAAGGCCTGGGGAGCAAGGAGCCTAGCTCTGTAGGAAGTGTCCAGCATTGCCATGCTGACTGTCTGCAGTTGAGAAAGGATGGGGAAGAGGCCAGCCCAGTGACCTAGTGGTGAAGTTTGGGGCACTCTGCTTTGGCGGCCTGGGTTCAGTTCCCAGTAAAGGACCTACACCACTCATCAGCAGTCATGTTGTGGCGGTGACACACATTCAAAATAGAGGAAGACTGGCACAGATGTTAGCTCAGGGCAAATCTTCCTCAGCGGAAAAAAAAAAAAAAAAGGGTGGGGACAACATTTCAGCCAACACAGTCATTGTCACATAAAAGGCCTTGGCAGTCTCTAAGGCTGTGCGAACATTAACTGTTTTTTCCAAGCATCCTACCTCGGACTTCCAGATCTACATGCGTCAGAGCTCTGACTCAGCCGGTGTCCAGACTCTGGAGACCGGAACTTCTCTTTGGACAGAGGCAGCCGGCATGTCTCAGGACCCAGGGCAGGGCTTTGAACCCCTGTGGAAGTAAAGGCCTGACTGAAGAGTCCTGGTGGGGTGTTTCAGTTTCGGTCTGGGTGAGCGAGGGTTCCGCCTGGAGACAGAGTGGGTTCCTCTTCCCCAAGGCCGGGAGGGGACTGTCACCCTGCCATCCACCCCTGCGCGGCCCAGCAGGGAGGGCGCCTCTGCGGACGGGCCTGGCTCACCCCGCCAGCCTCCGGTGGGCGCCCGCAAGATGTTTTCTTTCCCCGAGGTTAGTAAAGGCACACGCGAGGCGGAGAGTTGCAGCCGTGGCGCTCGGCTGCTCCGCGCAGCGGGAGGAAGGGCCTGGGGTGCGTCACAGAGCGCGCCGGAGCCCAGGAGGGCGCCTCTGTCCCTGTCAGCCAACGGGGCGTCTGCCCCCGGACCCCCGAGTGCGCCCCGGGGTGGCCAGCGAGGCTTCCGAGGGGTCGGATTCTACTTTTCCAAACTGTGTGTCCACCACGAGGCGAGGATAGGCGCAGTGGAGCCCAGCCAAGCTGTGGCTACTGGTGCCCTGCTGTGCCTCCATGAAGGCGGACCTAAGACAGACCATCCCTGCGCCAGCAGAAGCAGCCTCAACCGATGGGGGGCAGGGGCTGGGGGAACTCCCGTGGCGCCTGGCTGTGACCCCCTGCGCGTGTCCTGCTCTGCCCCTCCAGGTTCTCCACCGGGTTGAACCCTGGAGCCCATAGCGCGACCCTAGCTGGTAACCATCTTTTCTTGCCTTTGTCTCCTCCCCTTTCTCATTTCTCACCGCCTCCTTCTCCCCCCCCCCCCCCCCCCCGCCCCCTCAAGGATATCTGCCTGAATCACCTTCTAAATAGACCATTTGCACTCTTTCCTGATTTCATTGGCTACTCCTGGGGAAGCTCAGTGTCAGGCACCTGCTTGGAGACAGCAACTCCCGAGTTTGCCTTCAGGCTCACCTGTGCAGATCAAAATCCATCACGCTCCTAAACCGAATGCAGAGACCTTCCAGGCAACAGGACCCATCTTCCCTGGAAGGCTGGTGTGCTTTTGAATAACATGTCCCCTCGTCATAGACACGGTATTTCTCATTATTCCTTCTCTCAGGAACTTGCCGCTCCGTCTACCAATACCTGTGGAGTGAAACACTATAAAGCTTGACTTGTTCCTACCATAAAGAAGATCCCATCTACAAGGGAAGGAAGGGCTAGGAAGGAAGGGGAGAGAGCCCCAGGGAGGTGTAGAGTCAGGACCACAGACACTGAGGTGGGTCACCCAGGCTGGAGGAGAGGAGGCTCAAGGAGGCACCTCAGAGATGGTGGCAGAGATGGATGGTCGCCGTAATAATGTACACCTGAAATTCACACAACGTTGTAAGCAAAAATGACCTCAATAAAATATTTTTTTTTTTTAAAAAAGAGTGGTACTCTTGAGGGAGGGGGCACCTTGAGGCAACAGGAGAGCCCAGGGAAGCATTGGCAGAGGGTGGTGCCTACACCTGGCGGGACAGGAGGTCACTTCGGGCAGCACACTCGTTTTAGCCCAAGTTCCCTGGCAAACAGAAGATGAGACAGAAGCTTCTTCGCTGACGCTTTCTCGGGAGTGCAGCCCCAGGGAGGCAGGAGTGAAGCCAGTGGAGGCAGAGCTATGTCCGCCTCATTTGTGGTTAGTGGGAGCATTACAGAACCCAACAGGGCTGTGCCACAAGCTGATTGCACAGCCTTGAAGAATGTCTTTAGGGGGGACACAGGGAACTGCTGTGTCTCCGCCTCAGCCTGCGGGAGGGGGTCACGGCGGGAGGGGAAGGAGTTAGTCATAGGTTCCTGAGTCCCACCTGTGCAGATTTTACTCCCCTGGGACGTTAACCCTCCCAACCCCCCACTTCCCTCTGGCAGCCCACCTCCTCTGTGGGACTGCTGAATGCCTTTCTTGGCATCTGGTGCTTCAGCAGCAACCGGGAAGCCCAGGGCGGGAGTCAGAGTTACCTGGAGCAGGTGGGGCTGAGATGCTCTTAGGGTGTGCTTGTGAGCAACCAAGGGCCGGGAACGGCCATCCTGGAAGGCCCCTTGGCCTACGGTGATGGCTGCAACCAGGGAGCAGAACCAGCTGTGGCTAGAGCCATGTCCGCCAACGCACAGATCGGGGGCAGTGCAGAGACAGAATGTTTCAATAGCCATGTGTTTGTTTTCACGTATTCTAGATAAGTAGGCAACCAGCACATCACACCCATGATAACTCAACCTCTGTTTCTGAAGTTTTAAGTAAGTAAACATATGGCTGGCATGTATTTATGGCACTTATGGTGAAGGGGGCACACGAATGTGAAGCAGTGGGACAGACAAGGCTGCGAGTGAGCTGCCCACTTTGTGTCTGTCTTAAGCCACGGGTGCTCAAAAGAGAGATGTGAGACAGGAGGCTGATAAATTACGTGGCCCAGGTCCCGGAAGGCTGGCAGTGAATGACATCGGAGGGCAGGTGTGTTTTGATGATATCCAAACGTTTCTGCCAAGAGGGGGAACACAGCCATAATTTGTTACTTTGTCAACTACAGCACGTAGGTCCTCACTAGGGGCTTTGCCCCGGCATAAGAGAGCGCACCCCAAAACAGAACATAGCCTGAAAACATTTCCCTAATTCCAGCTTTCTTTTCTTCAAAAAATTAGACGGGTAAAAGTAGTAAGAGAGGTGTTGTTATAAGCAAAAACTTGAATCTTTCTAAAACAATAATTTTTAAAAAAACAAGTTGCCAAGTTTCATGAGAATGTGAAACAAACTATGACTCTCATGCACTGTTGGTGGGCGAGGACCCACATCCACCTTGGTAGAACCACCTAGGAAAGCCACCTGTCAGTACCTTCTGAAGCCAAGCGTACGCTGACGTTGTGACCCAGCCATTGCGTTCTTAGACAAATGCCCGCCGGAAATGCAGACCGACGGACCCCAGCAGTGCATGCGAACTTTCATAAGCAGCACAGTTTATAATGGCAAAATCTGGAAACTACCCAAATGCCCACCAACCGTAGAATGGATAGATAAATTGCAGCATATTCATACTGGACAAAATGCAGATGAGTGATCTATAATTGTACACCCAAATCTGGATGAATCTCACCGACGTTATGTTGAGGGGCAGAAGCCGGATGCCAGCGCACTTAACCATTCCACTCCCGTGAACATGGAGAGCAGCCGACTAACGGATGGTGCTGAGTCAGGGCAGCTGTCATCCTCGGGAGCAGTGACTAGAACGCTTCCTGGGAGCTGATCGTATTCTGTTCTTAGTCTGAATTCTGGCTATCCAGATGTGTTCAGTATGGGAAAACTCACCAAGCTATATCTTAGTGATTTGTGCATTTGTATATATGTTGTACTTCAGCAGAAGTCCAAAAAAGGGGAAGCAAGTAAATAATTTGTAAATGGCTATACTTTGGTACTATTTTTAGCACCAAATTATGTCAACACATCTCGCACTGATTGCACCTCTCGCTGAGTAAAGCTGATGCTGGGGAGGCGGAGGAGGCAAGACTGAGGCAGGAAGCACGGGCGCGGCTCTTCTGGAGGTCAGGCAAGAGGAGGAGAGAGGGCGAAGAGGCGGCCGTGTGCTTGCCGTCAGCTGTGATGTCCGGATTCCCTGTGATCCCACTGGAGCGCCACGAGGTCACGCGTGAGGTGTCGGCGAGGAGCAAGGACTCACGTCTGCTTCCAGACATTGCTCTTCTTCAGATTAGTCTGTTGAAGGTCCCACACATGTGCTGTTCATGGAGACAGCACAGAATCAATACAGTAGTCTCAAGGAAGGAAAAAAGAGGAGGCCAAAAATTTAATCACTGCTTTTCTTCTCGGTAATTCTGAAGCAATTGTGTATGCTCTCATTTCTTGTACCGAACATCATGGAATGTGTTACTGTGCCCGCTGGTTAACAAAACAGCCATGTGGAAGAGCAGTGACATTCTTGGTGATGGCAAAAAGAGATACGCTGGCTGGGACAGCCAAGAGGAGCACGTGTACAGAACACAGCTCAGCAGCTTCTGGGTTGCTCCATGCCAGCCGGGGCCCAGACTAGACGAGCAAGCCTGTGGTCACTTGCTCTTTCCGAAACACACGGTGGGCAGCCCCCAGTGCCTTGAGAAACACAGGGCTGCCGTATCATTCAGCCGGAAAAGCAGCCGCTCATGGGTGTGAGTCACGGCTTTGCCCTGGTCTGAGCGACCTTGACCCAGTCCTTTAAGTTCTCTGAAGTTCATCTTCTCATCTGTGAACTTGATGCCCACCTAACAAGGCTGTCAGGAGGGCTGCATAGATCGGGGTGGCCAAACACTTCCTGTAAAGGACAAAATAGTAAATATTTTAGGTTTTGCTGGCCACATAGACTTTGTCTCAGTTACTCAACTCTGCCATAGTAACGTGAAAGCGGCCACAGACAAGTGAATGAATGGGCATGGCTGTGTTCCGATGAAACTTTATTTACAAAAGCAGGCAGCAGGCCAGATTTGGTCCATAAGCTATGGTTTACCAATCCCTGGCAGAGACCAGAGTTAATTCACATGAAGTGGAAAGCTTGGCACGTCATATCTGCTCAATAAGCAGCGGTTCCTTCTTCTCCCTTCCTGCTGCATTCCTATCAGGGCTACACGAGCCAGGCTGGACAAGCTCAATGTGTGACTGAGCTTGCTCTCAGCCTAGGCTGGGTTCTTCTGCCCTTTTCTGTCTGGGCAGGTCACCATGCTCCATTTGTCCAAGTGACTCCCCGTCTGTGCACTGAGGATATCTGCTGATAAAATGGAGCCTCAGAAAGTTGGTCGGTGAGGGAGAGGGTGGTTGGGCAAGAGGAGATCAGGAAACGCCTCACTTCCATCCCAAGGCAGAACAGTGCCCTCACTGACGACCTGCGTGCCCAGCTGTGTGCCACGGCCACAGAACTTGACTTCTCTGTACCTGGCTCTTCGTCCGTAAAGCAGGGGGGAGTATACACCCCAGCCAGAATTAAATAGGTTAATATCTGCAAAGTACTTGTAACAGTGCCTGCCTGGAACACGGTAGGGCCCCAGTAAGTGCAAGTTTTATTAATATTAAAGCAGCAGAGGCCTGGTGTCTCCATCCCAAGCCTCCGGAGCTCAGAGTTCTAGACCTCTGGTTGTGGGTCCTGGATGAATGCCCCCGGGAGCTGGGGGTGGGGGAGGAAAAGCCATTTCCAAAACTCTACTTTCCCTCTTGTCCTGCCCTGTCGGTGTGGACAGAGCAAAAGTCAGAGAAACTCAGTGACGGAAAACACATTCGCGGCGGGAGACCCGTGTCAGTGACAGCTCTGGCCTGAGTTGGTGGAATGGACTCTGTGATTGAAGTCTCCCTACCTGCATTGTTTGATTGGTTGACCGCATTGAATCCTGACGCTCCGCTCTGTGGCC